TGTTCCAATAACATACAGTTCTGGTAACAATACAATTCTTCTACCAGCAAGATCACAAGTTGTCAGAAAAATAGAATTAACGTCCGATATAGAAACCATATTGATCCCAAACCAGGAAATTCAACCTGGTATTTATGTAGCAAATACAATAACTTCAAAAAATAATACATTTGTCCGATTGCTGAATACAACCAGTACCAACCAATTAGTACATATAAATAACATACAATATGAACCACTTTCGAATTACAAGGTAATTCAAACAACTCAAAAAATCCGAGAAAAAACTGTCATAGCTGAATTAAGCAAACAAAACACAACAACGACGGCAACTATCCAACTGGGACGTTCTAGCCATGGATGTGGAAAGGCGGCGTCGAGCGAACACTCTCGAGCGCGAGATGCGCGATCCGACCAGCATTTGCAATGTGGACTGCCTGCTGGATACGGTATCAGCCCTGGTCAGCGACTGCGACCACGACACGCTCAAGCGGCTGAAAAACATCGAACAGTATGCTGCCAAATATAAACCCCTGGCGCAGAGGATCAATCAGCTGCGCATGAATGTCGAGGACTTCGACTTCATTAAGCTAATTGGCGCCGGGGCCTTTGGAGAGGTGCAACTGGTGCGGCACAAGTCCTCCAGCCAGGTGTACGCCATGAAGCGGCTGTCCAAATTTGAGATGATGAAGCGCCCGGACTCGGCCTTCTTCTGGGAGGAGCGTCACATTATGGCCCATGCCAACTCCGAGTGGATTGTCCAACTGCATTTTGCATTTCAGGACTCCAAATACCTGTACATGGTGATGGACTTTATGCCCGGCGGTGACATTGTCTCGCTGATGGGGGACTACGATATACCCGAAAAGTGGGCCATTTTCTACACAATGGAGGTGGTGCTGGCCCTCGACACCATTCACAACATGGGCTTTGTGCACCGTGACGTGAAGCCGGACAACATGCTGCTCGACAATTACGGGCATCTGAAGCTCGCCGATTTCGGCACCTGCATGCGCATGGGCGCCAACGGCCAGGTGGTGTCCAGCAATGCGGTCGGCACGCCGGACTACATCAGTCCGGAGGTGCTGCAGTCGCAGGGTGTCGACAATGAGTATGGCCGCGAGTGCGACTGGTGGTCGGTGGGGATCTTCCTCTACGAGATGCTCTTCGGGCAGACGCCCTTCTACGCGGACTCACTGGTGGGCACCTACGGCAAGATCATGGACCACAAGAACTCGCTCAGCTTCCCCCAGGAGGTGGAGATCAGCGAACAGGCCAAGGCCCTGATCCGGGCATTCCTCACAGATCGGACGCAGCGTCTGGGCCGCTACGGCATCGATGATATCAAGGCGCATCCGTTCTTCAGAAACGACACCTGGTCCTTTGACAATATCAGGGAGAGTGTGCCGCCGGTTGTGCCGGAGCTAACCTCGGACGACGATACGCGCAACTTTGAGGACATCGAGAGGGACGAAAAGCCCGAGGAGGTGTTCCCCGTACCGAAGGGCTTCGATGGGAATCACCTGCCCTTCATCGGCTTCACCTACACGGGCGACTATCAGCTCCTGTCCAGCGACACCGTCGACGCCGAGGCCAAGGAGCCGAATTCGGTGAACAGCAACGCCAGCAACAACCATGCCCACGGCCATGGGCACAACCATCGCCATCGTACCTCCAACTCCAACGAGCTGAAGCGGCTCGAGGCACTGCTCGAGAGGGAGCGCGGCCGAGCCGATGCTCTGGAGAAGCAGGACACCAGCCTGCGGCACAAGATCGAGCTGAGCGGCAAGCGTGAGGTCGAACTGCAGCGCATTGCGGCCGAGTACGAGAAGGATCTGGCGCAGCGAAAGAACAACTACAAGGTGGCCATGCAGAAGGTGGAGCAGGAGATCGAGCTGCGCAAGAAGACGGAGGCTCTGCTGGTGGAGACGCAGCGCAATCTGGAGAACGAGCAGAAGGCCAAAGAGGATAACCGCGCGCTGCTGGAGAGGATCAGTGAGCTGGAGAAGAGCCATGCAAGTCTCGACTTTGAGCTGAAGGCGGCCCAGGGTCGCTACCAGCAGGAGGTCAAGGCCCACCAAGAGACTGAAAAGTCGCGACTGGTCTCTCGCGAGGAGGCCAATCTGCAGTGTGTATTGTAGTATGCTGTAATATGTCACTAGTAATTATAACACTGGCACGTCTGTGCCGTTTGACTTCGGTTTTTTGAATATCTTTATTGAATTTATTCTTATAACTCAGACCGCATAGCTGCGCTGCCGGTTACGCCAACAGCGGAGCGGCTTCATACATATTTGTCTTATCAGCATAATCGAGAGGGCAAGAGCCGTATGTACATATGTGTATATATATATATGCTTCAAGTGGTCAGCGTGGGAATGCTGACTTAGCTTAGCGCATAAGCGGCGATCATATTGCACGCTCACTTGAAGTGGTTTTGTTTGTGTACTGCAACAATGTGTTGCTGATACATTTATTGTTAACCATTGGGTACAGTGTACACTCAATATATGCACATACTACAATGCTCATATTAAAGTAAAGTAAAGTATTCATTATTACGAATACCCACTGTACCGACGGTACATAAAGAATACACACTGTAACACTTTGTTTCAGTGTTTACGTAACAATAAAGTCCCAGACATTCTGGGTGATCGTATTACGATTCACTCAAGAATGCCTCGAGCGACCCAAGTGCAGCGTCAGCATGTTCCCATGACTTGACGGCACTAATATACATGCATACACACATATATCTTCCCTCGCGCTCTCGCTGCCAACAGCGCTGAGCATATTCACACATATACATACTAACATATAAGAGATAAGAATACATAGTTCTGCCGCTCCGCTGCCGGCGTCACTGGCAGCGCAGCTCCGCGGCTTTTGGCTTACAAAAGCCCAAAACACAATTGTAAAATTGAGAACATAAACGACAATAAAAGAGATCGGAGGGTTGAGCCCCAACGATCCAGAAAAACGGATTGAACATCGATTTACATGGCGACCGTGACAGGACCATATATGTCCTACGCGATGGATCAATCTAAGGATTGAAAAAAAAAAGGAGAAAAATTTTTTCAAAAAAGTGTCAAAAATAATAAAGACAAAGAATGGCCGGAAAAAAAAAATATAATAATATGTGATTTTGTTTTAAAACAAAACGAGGGGGAACGTTGTGAGTTGCTGCGGACACCGCAACTCTAAGGTTATACCCGATACTAAGTCAGTATGGCTCTCCTCCGGCAGACGCCGCTAATATTTAACGACACGACAAAGAGTGCGTGCGAGAGAGACAGAAAATCAGTCTGAGCGTGACGTCGGGCGCTGCGTAGCCACTGCAAATTGATTTGTTCCTTTTGGCTAAAAAAATGGTCTGATCTGATCCAGATTCAGCAATCTAATAGATATGGTCATTATCTATGATTCTGCGTTTTTAGTTTTCTCAAATCTGCAATATTGTGGATGCAACAGATTTTCGTCCTTTGTGGGGGCGGATGGGGGTGGGGCGAAATTCTGAGATATACGTTTTATAGTGACATCTTAAAGGAGTGTGTGCACCAAATTTGGTTACTCTAGCCTTAATAGTCTCTGAGATTTGTGGTTGCCTCAGATTTTCGTCCTTTGCGGGGGCGGAAGGGGGTGTGGCGAAATTTGGACAGGAAACGGTCAAGGTCCGATATCACAGGAGTGTGGATACCAAATTTGGTTGCTGTGGCTTTTATAGGTTCTGAGATCAGGGCTCAATCGTCTCGGCTATTGATGCTGATCAAGAATATATATACTTTATAGGGTCGGAAACGATTCCTTCTGGACGTTACACACATCCACTTTTACCACAAATCTAATATACCCCAATACTCATTTTGAGTATCGGGTATAAAAATCGGACCAAGTCAAAAGAAAATTGATGAATTGGAAAAACTATTGAAATAGTGTTGTCCCCAGTGCCAGTGCCAAGGAAAAAACCCAGCAGAAAGCCAAACCAGCCGTTTCGCCAGACCCATGCACGACTGCCGACGATATTACGCACAAACCCATGTTGCATTATAATTTATACCCTTAACTTTGGGGACTACAATGCGGCCAGGAATATATAATACCCAAGGAGATTTAACAGCCCGCGCTACAAAGAGCGTACACGCAATATAAAAACCTGTGCGAAGACCAGCACCGGCCCCCACCAGACCCAGCAAGGACCAATAATATAAGTGCGAGTGGCATAGGACCGCCCCTTGCACCGTCGATGGACAGTAACACAAACACTCCAGCAGCAGAAAATGCACCAGACTTCGCCGACGCTGCTCCTACCGAGCAAAGGGACGCACTCAGCCTACAAGAGGCCTTAGAAGTGTATCCAAACGATGGACCACGCCCACTCACAATAGCTGAGTACAGGGCAAGACAAGAAAAACGCCCCAGGAAGAAAACAAAGAGGGGCGGCCGGATCAAACGGCTGCTTCAACAACGACGTCTGGAGCGGGACCTGGAAAAAACATATACAAATGAAGAGGACCGACAGCGCTGCCAAGAGCGCATCAAGGAAATCAATAAACAACTTCGCCAATAAAAGAGCGAAGTAACGCAATTGAGCTGCAGAAATGCCATGCCTCATATTGCCAATAATTATAATTTTCTATCTCGAGTTGAAGCACCCTTAAAGTGCAACTTGAAAATACTAACCTCTGTTAGGCTATTACTAAAACCATGTGATCGATGTTGAATTATATAATGAAAAACCTGTAAATCGATCACATGTCCCTTAACATTTTTTTTTCTTCCTTCATTTTGATCAAATATATATAAAAAAAATAATAATTTATATTGATGAAATTTTAAAGAGTAAAAAAAAAGGAAGGGTATATAGATATGTGTGTCCATGAGAAAAAAAAAGATTTTTTAGTAATTTTTTTTATTATTGAAAAGAACAAATGAATAGCAAATAATTAAAAAAAAAATTTAGATAGAGTTTAAAAACGAACATAGAGGACTTGGCAATGACAAAGGAGGAATATCAGACCAAAGTATATCAATGAAAAAAAAAAAAAAAAAAAAAAGAATACTATAAATCGATGTTCAATCCGTTTTTCTGGATCGTTGGGGCTCAACCCTCCGATCTCTTTTATTGTCGTTTATGTTCTCAATTTTACAAATGTATATGTGTGAATATGCTCAGCGCTGTTGGCAGCGAGAGCGCGAGGGAAGATATATGTGTGTATGCATGTATATTAGTGCCGTCAAGTCATGGGAACATGCTGACGCTGCACTTGGGTCGCTCGAGGCATTCTTGAGTGAATCGTAGTACGATCACCCAGAATGTCTGAGACTTTATTGTTACGTAAACACTGAAACAAAGTGTTACAGTGTGTATTCTTTAAGTACCGTCGGTACAGTGGGTATTCGTAATAATCAATACTTTACTTTACTTTAATATGAGCATACTACATCTCCCTCCTTTTGAAAAATAACGTAATATAATGAAGTTATTTTATTTTTAGCTTTTACTATATATGTATACGAGTTATGTATTCTTAAAAAGACAATTTATATATATATTTTTTTTTCTTTTTAGTCAATTATTAGAATATTGAACTTTAATTAATATTGATAAAATTTAAAAGTTATTTGAATATAAATGCAGAGTAGTATATTTTTATGGTTTATATTTATGTATGGCCATACTAAAAATGATTAATAATTGCAAATCTTTAACCTATCCTTATGTACTTTCTGAGTTTTGTTTTTATTATCGGAGATTATGACGTTATCTCTTTCTCCGATACTTTCTACTCTATATGGTCCTATATATTTAAAATCTAGCTTATGTCCTGTTGCATTTTTCAATAAAACTTTATCTCCTACAGCTAAATTTAAATCTTTTAACTTTAAGTCATATAGCTGTTTATTTTTAATTTTATGCTCCTCGAGCATAATCCTTGCTCGTTTATATGCTATTTCTAATCTATATATACTCTCTTTAGAGTAATCATCTATGTTATATAGAGGTGCTATTCTATCTATAGTATTAAATTGAACTGGTAAGTTTGAAGACTTACCGAAAACTAGCTCATATAGACAATAATCATGTGCCATAGAGGGGGTTGTATTAAAACAATATACGAAGTATTGCAGCCATACATCCCAATCTGATTTGTCAGCTGAGATGTATGAGCGTATGAATTCGTTAAATGTTCTGTGGCTTCGCTCCACGGTTCCTACAGTCTGGTGATGATGTGCAGTAGAAGTTATGTTTTTGATGTTTAGATTTTTACATAAGTCTTCAATTATTGAATTTGTATATTCTGTTCCCATGTCCGTAATGAACGTCTTCATTGGACCGTACTTTAGAATAAAATTTTCAAAAATAGCTTTAGCTACTGTATTTGCACTTTTGTTTCTAATGGGTATGGCGAAAAGGTATTTTGTCAGGTCACATATTAAGGTGACTGCATATTCATTTCCTTGTTCTGATTTAGGAAGTGGACCGATCGTATCCACTATTACCCTATCAAAAGCCATGTATGGTGTTTCTGTAATAGTCAATGGAGTTATTGTGTGCTTGGTTACTTTAGCTTTTTGGCATTTTGGACATTTTCGTATGTAATTGGTTATTTCTTTAGTCATACCTTTCCAAAAATAATGTCTTTTGACCTTGGCCAAGGTTTTTGTTATGCCTGTATGTCCTCCTTGTATGGGATCATCATGTAATGTAGACAGTATTGCTTCTTTTTCTTTTTCATTTTTAATTAGGGTCACCGGGTTGAGTAGCGCTACTCTTATTGTTCGTAATATTTTATTGCCCATATTTTTAAAATTATCTATTGAAATGTATTCAAAGATATTTTCCCACGGTGCCACTTTGAGTTGGCTGATTTTTTGTTTACCGGCTTGCGTTTCAAGCCTTTGGAAAAACTGACCTAAGTCAAGGGTTCCATTAGTATACAAATCGCTAACATCATATCTTGCAGTAATTTTTTTTCCATGTTTGAAAAAACATAAATTATTATTAACATGCAAGGTCACTACTTTACGCACTTCGTCATTTTTGATGACTTCATATACGTTGGGCTTTGAAGCTTTTGTTAGAGATTGCCTAGGCAATTCTATTTGTTCTTTTCCTGCGCAGGATTTCTGTCTACTCTGTTGCCTGGTAGTGACTTTCGGGACTTTATTCGTATTTTGTATGTTTTTTAGGTCTGTGATGGTTATTCTTGATAACGCATCTGCTACATGATTATCTTTACCCTTTAGATACTCGACTGTAAAGTCGTATTCTTCTAATTCGAGCCGCATGCGTGTGAGTTTTGAGCTAGGATTGACCATTGAAAATAGGTATGTTAGTGGTCTGTGATCCGTTTTTACTGTAAAGTGTTTACCATAGATATATGGTCGAAAATGGGTAATTGCCCAATGAATTGCTGCTAATTCCTGTTCTGTAGTACTTTTGTTACTTTCACCTTTTGTGAATGAACGTGATGCATATGCTAATGGGAGTTGGAGTCCGTTATGGTTTTGAGTTAAAACCGCTCCACATGCTTGTTTACTAGCATCGGTGATTATGCAAAATTCTTTCTGAAAATCTGGGTACTGTAACAGAGTGGGTTCCATAAGTTTATCTTTTAAATATTGGAATGCATTTTGACATTCAGTTGACCACTCAAAGGGGACATTCTTTTTACATAATCTAGTTATGTGCCGGGAATAGTCGGCGAAGTTTTTAATAAAACGTCTATAATAATTGCAAAATGCAATAAATCGTCTAGCGCTGTCCGCATCATGTGGGACTGGATAGTTTTTGCTCTTTGCCTTTATAGGGAATTCGTTTGTTTCTCGTTACAATTGTTTTTGGTTTATACTTTTGTTCATTTAGAATTTGCCTTAAACATCTCTATTATTTTTGTGGACGCACCTCATCCATTATGGTCCGGTCCGAGACGGTTTTGCCTATCCTGTCCAGCCAGACTCGGACCGTACCGCAGTGCCACCGCCGGCCGTTCTCAGCGCGCAAGCCCCTTAGGGCGGAGGGCGACGAGGGGGCGCCGCTCACGAGAGCGTGCTGCTTGTGCTTTACCATCTGATAGACTGATGGACCGTATTGTCCATTGGCCATTGGCCGTGTTGGAAGTCGGCCTTGGCCTGACCCGGAGCTGGTGCTACCGATGCCCGTCTACCCACTGATGGCTGGGTCGGGGACGGAGAGGAGGCGGTTCCGTGTGGCACGGGGCTGAGGTGGGGACCTGGCGCGTCGGCGATTACACGAACGGGACACACACACCAATGCATTTTGAAGTTTTTATATTTTTTTTTGTACGATTTTTTTTCAGAGTTTTTGCAGTTGTCCTGATACATTATCTACTAGGTCACATTTAGGTTAGTCTTCCTTTTTTTTTGTTTTAGTGTATTTTTTTTTATGTATTTTTTTTTTTTTGTTTTTTTTTTTCATTGATATACTTTGGTCTGATATTCCTCCTTTGTCATTGCCAAGTCCTCTATGTTCGTTTTTAAACTCTATCTAAATTTTTTTAAATTATTTGCTATTCATTTATTCTTTTCAATAATAAAAAAAATTACTAATGCTTTGGGATCAATATGGTTTCTATATCGGACGTTAATTCTATTTTTCTGACAACTTGTGATCTTGCTGGTAGAAGAATTGTATTGTTACCAGAACTGTATGTTATTGGAACATAAATTTTAATTTTTATATTATTTGGTCCAACCAATCCTCTGCAAGTTTTAAGTCTATTAGGCAGTTTAATTCTTTTATAATATCAATGCCTATTATTCCATCACACGGAATTGCAAAATTTTGATTAACTAAATGGAAATTGTGTGGAATTATGTACTTATCCGTCTGTAGCTCTATTAGGGTAAGGCCTTGGGATGTTATTATACCTTCCCCTATTCCTTGAATATCTATTTTATTTTTTGTTTGAATGTCGTTAAAGACATCTGAATTTTCTTTTAATAATGATATATTGGCACCTGTATCTATAAGGAATGTAAGTTGTTTTCCTGTTTTAGAATTGAGGAATGCCACGAATATATTGAGATTGAGGTTGATTGTGAACCGCTGGATTTTTTAATTTAGTGTATCTAAAGGATCTTGGGAGTTTCCCGAAGCTGTCTGGGTAACACGAACATTGTTCTGTCGTGTGTTTCCATTGCTATTGTATCTTTGGTTGTTATAGGTTCCACCGTTATTACGGTTATTTCCCCTATAGCCAACACGACCTCTATTGTTATTATAACTATTGTTGTTGTAAATATGGTTGTGGTTGTAACCACGACCATTTCCTCCACCACGATAGTTACCTCGAAAGTTACTACCGCGGTAGACTTGTCCTTGTCTGGTGTACAATATTGAACTTGCGCTACCAGTCATCTCTGTACTACACTGTATATATTTTGCTACGGCATCATTCATTGTTGGGAATGTGCCTGCTTCTAGTATTGTTTTGAGTCTGCCGTGCTCGCAATTTTTAACCATTGTACTAATGGCCTCTTTGCAGCTGAACTTATCGGCGTGTTCCGCTGGCAAACCCTCATCAATGTATGATGCTTCTAGAAGTTTTCTCATATCATCAATCTCTGTTGTGAATTGGGCGGCTGTTTTGCCTTTTTGGCATACTTTTGCCATTTTAGCCTTTATAACATCTGATGACTCTCCGACAATAGTGTCTTGCAATTTCTTTATTATTGCGCTAATGGTGGTTTCATCTTGTATTTTATACAATGTAGTTCCTATTACTTTTGATTTAATTACTTCTATAGCTAAATTTTCGTATGGTCCTTTCGTTAGATCGACCAATTTGATTGCCGTAATGAATCTTTGTAAATGGAATTTCTGTCCATTAAATTCCGGAATGGCGTGCGAAATATCTTTGATATATGCCCGTTGGGCAATTGTTTCGTCTGCCATTGTGGTTGGTTCTTGCCCAACCACGCTGTTTGCTGAACTAGTCGACGGTTTGTCGTCGTTCACCGGATGGTTCGATCTATTTGATCGAGAATCGTCTTCCGA